GTATACTTCCGATTCCGTTTCGAATCACTCCTTTTCTAATTCTACTAGATATAACCGTACCCTCTCCTATTGAATTTCTTAATTTATTTTTAAGGTGACTGGATTAGTTATATATTCTTTAGTTGGCGTTTATATTAATTATTTTTTAATAATTCCTTTACTGTATTTTGGACAGCTAGCTTCCATTCTATTATTATCTTAACATACCTATTCACTTCTGGATTTTGCCTTGCTAGTTGTTTTGATAATTACTCATTTTGTTACGAGACAAATTCGCATTATAATGAAAACTTGTTATGAATTTTCTTATTATCTAGAAATTAGCTTGAGATGGTAATTAGCGATGAAGATACAATTTCCCAGTGTTATGCGCTTTATATGATGACAAGCTTACTACTTAGGATGTAGTGTAAGAGATAAGTACTATAATTTTCTTGTAAATAAAGAGATAGTATTAATAATCCGCATAAGTTTTCCAATTTCCTCCTATTTTTGGCTCGGCTTTGTTTTCGCAACTTTTTCGGAGCGACAGTGAGACCTTGCGGAAGGAGAGCCACTCGATCTTGGTCTTCATTTCTACGATTTAATCACTGAAGTTATTAATTTTCTAACTAATTATTTAGAAATTTATCGTGTAATGATAAAGCTATGAATAATTGTTTATTTTTTTTGTCATCGATGTATTTGGGAAACTATTCATGAATGGGCTTTCGAGACTCAGTATATTATATATATGTGATGTTTTCATCCTATTTCGTTAAGGATGATACGGATTCTGATAGTTGAATTTTCCCACAATGATATTTGTAGAAGTGTCGTTTCCAGTATATTTCACATTGTATTGCTTTCCAAAAATGTATTCTCATCCAGTTTCTATCTCGCCTAGGCATTATCAACACCCCTAGCGGGACTCGAACCAGGACACTGCAGCTTTCGATCTCGACACGTTAATTACTACGGCACATTGCCTCGAGTGACCTTGAGTGACAGGACAAAATGTGAATTTCAACGAAGGCCAGATATTTTCATATATCACATTCTCTGGTGGTATAGTCAATGAAGCAAAGTTGTGTTTGCCATAGCAATCGACTACTATGGGAAGATTTCTGGCTTGGATTAGAATATTTTTTGGGAATCCAAGG